TTTATCTCCAAAACTGGCAGAGATAGGTCCATAGTTACTATTGAACGTGAATAGGAAGTCATATACTGGCAATCTAAGTGTGACCTTGAAATTGACCTTTGACCTACTTATTATCATGAACTGAACTCTGCTAATTTCTTTCTCTTTGAACTCCAAACCTGGCAGAGATAGGCCCATAGTTACTATTGAAGTTGAATAGGAAGTCATATACTGGCAATTTACTGTGACCTTGGAATTTACCTTTGACCTACCTTACGATGAACTTAACTTTGATTGTACCATTTTTAGTTATATATATATTTTTTGCATATTTTGAAAATTCTTGTTGATTGCATTTTTACAGCTTGTCAAGCACAAGACTGGTGGCTGTGTTCCTTATTTTGTATATGTGGGGGTCTATACGAATGCGCTTGCTCCAGCTGGTGGTACAATATTCGGAGGCGGTATCGCCTCTCTGATCCTCTAGTTTTGTGTAGGACCTATCTGATGATAAGTGCAATAAAAGGCGTGTTATATATAATTGAAAAGATTTATGGATTAAATGATAATTCAAAGATGTTAACACCATGATATACAGTTCTACAACTTAAAATGGACAGAAATATAAGTACGTATACAGTTACATGAGGTGTAGGCGAGAGTTGGAACATCAGGAATAGTGTACAATTTCATGTGGGTGTCGGTGAAAAGATCAGGTGCTCTCTGCACACAATGTCATCAGTCAAGTGTGGTTAGACTGTGGTCTGTGGATGAAACCCAGGTTACTGCATCTCAATACAACAGCCAGTTACTAAAGAGCAGGTGATGGCTTTCTCTGATTGTGCTCCGCTGAGCCATGGTATTTGTAGGAGTTGGAGCAGTCTCAAACATGGGGTTAAGTTATAGAGTTCTGCCAAAGAGGTGTCAGTCATTAAATCTGGTTGTCTAACATCTCTTGGTTTGGTGTCTGTGATGTGGTTTTTGGTGTACTCTGTCTTTCCACGCTGTTGCTCTTAACCCCCTGATTTGATCTCATTGGATTTACTTACGTGCTGTTTATTTACAAGAAAGGAAACATTCTTCTATTTTGCTGCGATTTCTTGACTCTGGTCTACTTTGGCTGGTGAGTTTAGAAGGTGTACATGCTGTTGTTGGGGACAGAAGAAAAGCAGGAAGAGGATATTCATGTATCAGTCTGGCAAGTTTCCGTAGTAAGTGTATTGTGTTGAAATGTTACAAACATCCTGTCCATAAGTTTTTGCTGAGGTGATTCTATTCTCTTAAAGGGAGACTTGTTCTTTACTCTTTGGGTTAAAAAGAAAAAAAAATACCAGTGCTGTGAAACCATTGTACCTTGTCTTCTTACAAAGCAGGTGCTGCACTATTCTTGTTTCTATTTTCCTTTTTTTTTACTTTCTGTGATAGAAACAAATTTGCATGCTCAAGTGGGCACACTGATGTGAACCACAGTCTTCATAGTTCTTCAGGTTAAAAATATAGAGATGTGACATGAGGGCGTCAAGCAAGAGATTCATTCTGTGCTAGGGTAGGTGCTGTGATTGTTCGCGTTGTCTTTCAGCTGTGTAGGTATTTGTGGCACTATTCATTGGGTATCTTTTACCCTGGATATGATGTGATTTGAGTGGCTGCACATGCATATATTGTGTGAGAAACAGGAAGATGACAGACAAGGTTTCATACAGCTACTTAAAGTGTCAGTAATGTGTGGTTTTCAAGAGGTAGGTGGTCGTCCCTTAAAAGTTGATTTATCTACATCCATTCATGCTAATTGCTTCAAATTTTAGTTAAATGGCTTCTGTTAAAAAAGTAAGGAACCAAGATTCAAACTAATGTTCACACGATTCATGTGTGTAGCTTGCAATTTCTAAGGAAGGTTGGAGGTGAGAAGAAACTTTCTTTTAGCTTATCAAATTTTCGTTCAGAGAGGACCTTTTCTGTAGCCAGTGGGACAGTTTGTTCTAACCCTCTGATTCTTCCTCTCTTGCCTGGCACCATTGAGAGAAACCACCAATAATAAATAGTTTCTTTGCTACACTATCTCTAACAATTTTGTAAAAATGAAAAGTGTGCTTATGTTACATCAAAGTAGTCAGTCTATACAGTTGAGAGGGTTAACACTGATAATGAACTTTGATTAACTCAGGTAGCAAATGTGTGTAAATATTCAAATTTGCCTCGTGGCTTAGAATAGCACTAGTATTTCATCATTAAAAAGTGTCTTCTGTTGTTCTTTTGTGAATCATGTATTACCTGCTCTGGTTACAAGAAGTAAAATTGACAGTGAATGTAAGTAAACAAGCCACTCAATTATCCAACCTGTCACAGGAGAGTGTATTCCATCAAGACACATGTGGTTTCTGTATTTAAAAGGTTTAACCTACTCTAATTACCAGAATATATTTGCCTCTAGAATGAGAAAAGTGCTTATGTTTCATCAAAGCAGACAAAATGTATGCATTGAACTTTTTATTATGTTATCGTTTGAGGTGCTGATAAAGACAGTGTCATTGTTAAGGTAAAATGACAGGCATGCAGACTTAATATTGGCCACTTGGTCCGGTCATCTGTGAAACTGATGAAGTATCTGAAATTAAAGTGATATCTTTGACATTTTATCCACAATGGCAGGGAAAGCAGAGTTCATTGCAAGGTATGGTATGCTTGATTGACTTGATGATGAGGAAAGCACATTTTGTAAATTTTCTATTCCACTGGTCTCATAAATTCATTGAAAGGTGACAGTATTGTACAAAAGAGGTGTCACAATGGAAGTGGTCAATCGTGAAATTACTTAAGGTCACATGAGGAATTTGGTGTCATGATAGCCCATCAGCATGGCCATTTGGTTGCCCATCCATCCATTAATGTTCAAGCTTTTGTCATCTTGTTAACCTTCCAATAGATAGAGCCATTGTCACATGGCTCAGAAATGCTTCAATTTTTTCATGTGTTTTCATTGCTTCTTTATCTCCTTCATTTGTAAGTTTTTTTGTGTGTTTATTTGGATGTTTGTGTAAATTAATTTTCCAGTCGTGTTTCATTGAATAGTATTACCAGACTAAATTGTAAGTAAATTAAGAGATTAAAACACTTCATTCGATTTTTACATCCACCTGTGTCTGTCCATCCACCGATCTGTTTTATTTATTTATTTATTTATTTATTTATTTATTTATTTATTTATTTATTTATTTATTTATTATCATTCCATCCATTCATCACTTCATTCATTCAGTAAAACATGACATCATTACTAAGCAATGTGTACAGATAAGTGTACCACAGTTCTAGTCAGAACTGATATCATTACACCTGGTAGGTAAGCTGATGATATCATCTAACTCAATAAAACACACTGGCATGAAGATTTCTGTAGCATATGTCAGAACCACGGTTGCAGGTGTTGGGGGCAGATATTACCTTTCAGTTAAGTTGTTAGGAATTTGATTAGCACATTCATAAAAAATGAATGGATGGTTCATCTTTCTGGTAGTCAGCTGTCTTGATTGGGTTGACTCTGCATGAAGGAACTTTGGCTCACTGGAAGTCAAGTGTTAGATCTCTTATTTTGGGGTTTCCTGATTTTATCAACTTATTGCCTCTTACTGTGGATTTGAAGTGGTGTTAAACTTAAGGTAAGGTATACTTGTTGTCTGAAATTAAAATATGGTTCATCTTTCCTATGTTTGGTTCTACCTTCTTGGCATTCTTTTAATGGCCTTGGGATTAGAGAAGTAATTTTAGTAACTTTTAAATCAGATAGTTGGGCTTAGGTCTAAATAATTTGGCTCTCTTTGATGTCTCAGGATTGCTTGTATAACTTTAAACAGGTAACGATGTAAATTTTAACCTCATATTTCTTGTATTCATGTTGAAATGAACATTGGCTTCAACTTTCGCCATATACAGCTGTTAGTGTCAGATCACCTCGGTTTGTCTTGGCTTGACTTTGAATTACTGTTGGCGTGAACTTTTTTGATCAAATTTTGAGACACGTCAGGACATTTGTTGGCTCCCATGCCACGCTTGACCTTCTGGTGAAGATGGAAAAACATTGGTGAAAAACCATCCATTTTCTTATTAACCTTCCCGTGATTTGATTTGTCGCTCAATTAACCGCACCACGTGTCCCTAGGTGCTGTTTTAGTTGTGACTTTTAGAAAGAATTTCTGACGCAGATCAGCTGATAAAGCTTCCAAATACACCAATGGCCTGAAGCTTGTATGTTAAATTGTTTCTCTCATGGTAATTTTTTTCTGTAAAAAAAAAGAGATAATGTGATATCATATTTAGTCATTCTAAGCTGATGTGGTAATGTTTTTTCCTTTGACTAGAAATTTCAGTTATTTTTAAGCACCAAAATAAAAGATACAGTGAACTATCTGGATACAATATGTTCAGGGTAGT